ACTGATGGAAGAGGAGGAAAGAAACTTGCTAGAGCAGGAGAGGGGGTGAGTTTGTGTACCTTTGGAAGGCCTTCAGCCCCCGTGATAGGAGGGGAGGTGGGGATATGGACACAAGCACGGGTGGGTGGGCAGGTATCGGGGTGGGAGCTTGTGGGCCTCCATTATTGTTTGCTTCTATTTTCTCAGTGAAATAGGAAGCTCATCAGTGAAGAGTAAGGGTTGGGGAGGAAGTGTTGGAAGTTTGAGGAAAGAGAAAATGGTATGAAGCTAAAAGGAGTTGAATGTTTACTTAGGGGAGTGATTATAATAATGGATCTCATATCTAAGCTGGTTAAAGAGGGACGTGAGGACATGAGGGAGGACGGGAGCAAGCAAAATGTAGGGAAACAGTAGACTACAGGATCAAATGGAGTTGGGGAATTTTTGGAGTTGGGATTGGAAGACGGGAGGTGATGGTGAAAAGAGGGAGGCTTCACGTGCCACCAGTCTCTCTCCTACACTCTGTGTCAGCTCACTAGCCTTCTTCGGTTCTTCCAACACTTCACATTTGTTTCTGCCTCAGGGCCTTTGCACTTGCTCTTCCCTTCACATCTTTGCATGATTTGCTCCCTAACTATGCTCAGCTTTCTGCTCTGTCATCACATCCTCAGGGAGATTTTCTCTGCTCATCTAGGTAAAAGGCAGCCTCTGTCCCCTGACCCTGTTTCATTTTTCCTTGTGGCATTTCTTGCCACCTGAAGTTATGCTATATTCATTCATATGGTTACATTCTGTGTCTCCCACTAGAATGTAAGTTCCACAAGGGTAGGAACATTGTCTTGTATACCACTGTATCCCTGATATGTAAAAGGCACTCAGTAAATAAATAAATTTAAATGAATAGTGAATACATGAACTTCCCAAGGTCACTCAGCTAATAGGTGATGCAGGCAAGATTCCCACCCAGCACTCTGGCTCTAGAGCTTTTGCTCTTAAACACTCAACAGAGAGAAAGAAGAACTAGAAGGAGAGAGAAGCTGCTGTAGCCCTCTTGGAGCTTTCAATCTCTGAGATTTTAGGAGCTTCCCTATAGATGGAGTTTGAGGGGAAGAAGGAAAATACTCCTCTACTGGAAGCTTTATTGGAAAAGGCAGAAGGTGAAAAATAATTTCCTGGATAGAAAAACAGAAGGACAAAAACAAACCAGTAACAATGTACAGGTCTGAGATTGGAGTATTGATCGAAGGCCACTTAAGACTTATTTATGATTTCTTTTTCCAAAGAAAATGCATTGAGGCAGTGCTTTTGGAATTAAAATTAAAAAATTATCCATTTTTTAAAAGAAAGAGAACTGCAGTCAATCTGGTGGTGAAAGCAAAGGGTGAGACTTTAAGTTCATCTTTCCTGGGAGAGCAGCTGGTTTAGAAGATAAAGCTATGCAGATGTAGGGCTTCCCTGGTGGTGTGGTGGTTGGGGGTCCGCCTGCCGATGCCAGGGACACGGGTTCGGGTCCTGGTCTGGGAGGATCCCGCGTGTCGCGGAGCAACTGAGCCCATGCGCCACAACTACTGAGGCCCGCACTCTGGAGCCCACGAGCCACAACTGCTGGGAAGAGGCTCGCGCACTGCGGTGAGGGGTGGCCCCTGCTCGCCGCGACTGGGGAGGGCCCGTGTGCAGCGGCGGGGACCCAGCGCAGCCAAAATAAATAAATAAAATTGAAAAAAAAAAGCTATGCAGATGTAAAGCAAAGATTTTGAACCATCCCTTTTCTGGGTTACACTTACATCTTTAGTTTCATGAAGGATGACTTGAAGCAGCCACACTTGTGATGCAAAACTTATTCCTCAGTGTTATTTTCCACTTGTAAATTGGTTGGATCTACTTGAGTCAAACTGTGCTTTTGTAGACTTCGTTGCTTCTTTTGGAAGTGTTCTTTCAAATTAGGTTACAGAAACAAGAGCTGAATTATATACACAGCTGCAGAAATAGACTGTACTTTCAAATGTAAGATGAAAAATATGAAAATTGAGAGAGTTCCTTTAGTGTTGAAACTGCCCAACGTTCTTGGTAAAGTTCTGTTTCTTAACGCAGTCAGAAATTGGTGGGTGGGGTGGCCACACGGCCTGAGGAGTCAGGCAGGCCCCCTTTAGAGCAGAAGTTGCAGTCACTCAGATGGATGTTTGAATCCAGTTCTGTTCCTCATAGTTGGATGACCTTGGTCAAGTCATTTAACCCGGTTACTTTCCTTACTTGCAAGAATCCATGTGCCCAGAGCTCCCTCATGGGGTGCTGTGAGAATTAATTGAAATGATGTATGCAGTGTCATGGAGTGATTTGCTTGATAATTGGAAGTCATTGTGTAAATTGCTGGCAGACTACTTCTTGCTTTTGTGCACTTGTGTTTTTGTTCTCACTCTGTTCATAGACAGCATGACGATATAATTTAACCTCCACACTGGGACTCTTTTGAGAATGAAAGGGGACACCAAACCAGAGAGAACTCTGGGCTTAAGTCAAGATTCTCCTCCAGGCAAACCAAGATGTTAGGGTCACCCTCCCGAAGACTGAGAAGCCTGTAGGAAGGAGGTGCCTGCCGGAGGGACAGAGAAGAAGGGGATGAGGTGGGCAAAGACGGGTTTTGTCTGTATTGGCATGCTGGTTAGGAACTAGAAGTCAGTTTGAAACATATTAAGAACAGAAGAAGCCCTCTTTCCCTTCTCTCCTGCCACCTTATAATTTGGCGACGGACCTTTCTCCATTGTGCCCAGATTGGGCTGGAGATTAAGCCAGCACGTGCCAAGATGGCATCAAATCACAGGGGTAGGCTGGGGACCCCAGCGTGGTTATGAGTAGGCCGTTTCTTCTGAGCCAAACTACGGGGATTTATGCTACTGTGTTTATTTCTCTTTGTTACTTGCCAGCACAGTGATACCCAAACCTGCAAGAATTTAAGGATAACTGACATTACTTTAAAATACCCATTCCCAGGCCCCCACCAGAGAACTGAAGCCAAATCTCCTGACATTCCGTATATTTAAATGAGTGTCTGGGGCAGTCTCTGTGACCGGCAAGGTTAGGAAACATTGCCCTTGCCTTGAGAAAAGCTGTTTACCAGTGGTCCCCAACTTTTTTGGCAGCAGGGACCAGTTTCATGGAAGACAATTTTTCCACAGACTGGGTGGGGGGAGGGTGGCTCAGGCGGTAATGGGGAGCTGTGGGGAGCGGTGGGGAGCGATGGGGAGAGGCAGAGGAAGCCTCGCTCGCTGGCCCGCTGCTCACCCCCTGCTGTGCAGCCTGGTTCCTAACAGGCCACAGACTGGTACTGGTCTGTGGACCCGGGGTTGGGGACCCCTGGGTTAAACTTTCTGGCTTTGACTTGATTGTGCCACGGGATATTAAGAAATGTCTTTTGTCATCTCACATATGGGCCTCAAATATGAAAGGAAGAATCAATCCGAGGAGGCTCTGATGGAGCAAAGATGATGAGTGTCCCAAAATACAGACAAATCTCCAGGACAGTGTGTAGGGTTCTGTTGTCTGTCTGCTTCTGGCCCTGCACTCACTGGGGCCTTTTTCAATGTCAACTTTGGAGGAGCTGAGCCTTATATTTATTATAAAAGCAGTGATTCCATGTCCTCATACTTTATTTAGTTATTGCTCTTTCTCTTCTTTCCCCATCATGCTTCCGGAAAGAATTGTTCATACCTCCTGTCTCCATTTCCTTAATTCTCATTCACTCCTGACTATAGTGGAATGAAGCCTGGCCTGGGTGATCTGCCCTGTGTGATCCTGAGCAGGTTAATGAATCACTCCAGGTTAGTTTCTCCACTTGACTTCTACACGAGGTAATGCATTTCATGCCCCCTACCCACCTTTGCCCCGCAAAAGGAGATGAACTTTCTCTTCCTGAAAGCATTAGAGACCTAACTGTAAGATTCAATTATTCAGTTATTTTTCAGGGCTCAATTTACTTTTCTCATCAACAGCTAAGACCATACTCAGTTTTTGAAATTCTTATTTTTTTCTTACATTTATGTCATTTTTCCCAGTTTTTGCCTCCTGGTTCTTTTTCCTTTACATATACCTTATACTTAGATGTATCAATGGAATTATGCGGCCATTAGAAAGTATCTCTATAAAGACTGTGGAAAGATGATTACTTGAACGTCTTAAGTAGAAATAGTGCAATGCAAAATGCTACATGTTAAAAATAGGTAAGGTGCTGTTGGTCTTAAGAAGGCATTATGGCCACATGACCAAAGATAACAGAATCTTACCCTAGACTGTGGCCACACCCACACTCACACCTAAGATCCCTCAGGGACACAAAGGGAACGTAACAAATGAGAATTAAAGTATCATTTGCTATGTGTACTCTGGTAAGCTGGGCCTGAGCACTGCTTTGGGCTTCACATCTGAAGACTTCCTCTATCTTCCAGGCATAAATAAACTCTTACCTCAGCAGGAGCGCATCAGATATGTATGCCTGGTTCTCTGCCTGAGAGGGAACAGATCCTGGTTTCAGCAGTGAACAAAGAGGCAGCAAAAAAGATAAATTCTCGCTTGAGTGTGCTGGAGCAGGCTCACATGACTTGAGAGCTGATTCTGATAACTCTTCCCAACTCTGCAGTCAGCATTCAGTGAACTCAAGTTGACAGCTTGCAGTCAGCCATGGTGGGAGAATTTACAACATGGAAACTGGTAAACACTGTGAAGTGTGGCTCCCTATCCCCCACCCTTGCCCAAAGCTGAGTGTTAACTGTTGATTAGCACACCACTGGGAGAGGCAGAAAACATGTTACTCCCCTACTCTGAGCTGGCTCTGGTTATGTGCACCACTCTTTCATTGCAGGAAGAGATAGCAACGTCTAGATTCATTATCTGCAATAATAAAGATGATGATAATGACGATAAACACTTAGTGAGCACGTCTAGATGCTGTGCTTCACTGTACCAAGTGCTTCCCCTGCATAGCCTTAATTTATACTCAAATGACTTTATGAAATAGGGACTGTCATTACCTCTATTTTACATATGAGGAAATTGAAGACCAGAGTAAGTAATTTGTCAAATGTTCCACTGCTGATGAATAGAAGATTCTGGATTCCAGTCCAGGCAAGGCCTCTCTAGAGTCTCAGCTCTGATCTCCATGACAACCCCTTCCTGCGGAAAGTAGGAAGAGAGGTTGGAAAGTGTCATCCCCAACTAGCAGTTGACAGCATGTATTACTATGATAGAAACATTAGATGTTACGGAAAAACCTGAATGAACTTTCTGACCAACCCAATATTTAAAAGATGCATCCTTGTGTATTGTGATACAACTTTTATATAAGATTTTCAAACTTGCAAAATAATACAACATATTTTCATGGATATTTACATATGTGGTAAAAGTGTAAAAACATACATGGAGATAATGTGGGTACCTGGCTATTTTTTATGTTACCACTTTTTTGTATATTTAAACTATTTTGTAATAAAAATTTAATGTATTTCTATATAAGGTAATCCGATTGGTTTTAATGTGAGATTATAGGTAGTTCTACTCATTTATTTTATTTAAAAAAATTTTTTAAAGATGTTTATTTATTTATTTATTTGCCACGCTGCACAGCTTGCGGGATCTTAGTTCCCTGACCAGGGATTGAACCTGTGCCCCCTGCAATGGAAGCACGAAGTCCCAACCACTGGACCATCAGGGAATTCCCTCTAATCATTTATTTAAAATTTTTTAATATTGTTGTATTGTCCTTTCTTTTTTTTTTTTCCTTGGCTGCATGGCGTGGCATGTGGGCTCTTAGTTCCGCCAACCAGGGATCGAACCCATGCCCCCTGCATTGGGAGTATGGAGTCTTAACTGCTAGGGACTGCCAGAGAAGTCCCAGTATTGTCCTTTCAATTACAAAAATTTTTAAAAGAGTGAGTGCATGCTAAAACTGGTAAAACCTGAATAGCCTGTAGTCTATTTAGTTGTCAATGTTAATTTCCTAGTTTGGGTACTGTACTATGGTTATATAAGATGTCATCATTGAGAGGAATGAGTAATGCAATGGATCATTATTATTTTAAATGGATTAATAAATAAAGGTTATTTTATTTATTATTCTCAAAAAGTTCAAGAATCTCGGGGCTTCCCTGGTGGTGCAGTGGTTGGGAGTCTGCCTGCCAATGCAGGGGAAACAGGTTCAAGCCCTGGTCCGGGAAGATCCCGCATGCCGCGGAGCAGCTGAGCCCGTGTGCCGTAACTATGGAGCCTGCGCTCTAGAGCCCGCGAGCCACAACGACTGAAGCCCGTGTGCCACAACTACTGAAGCCCGTGTGCCTAGAGCCTGTGCTCTGCAACAAGAGAAGCCACCACAGTGAGAAGCCTGCACCCTGCAACGAAGGGTAGCCCCCGCTCGCTGCAACTAGAGAAAGCCCGCGTGCAGCAGCAAAGACCCAATGCAGCCAAAAATTAAATAAATGAATAAATAAATAAATTTTTTAAAAAAGTTCAGGAATCTCTGTTTTAATGGAAACTTCCTCTAACCCCCAGGTACTGTTAGATGTTTTATTTTTTATGTTCCATCCCTCTATCATAGCTCTAACCATATTGTAGGTTGTTTATATATAAAGTACTCTATACATTTAAGCGCTATTCTTTTTCTCCAGGAAACTTTGATGGGCCATAAACTTTTTTCCATATTTAAGAATTGGGATATAATTCATATACCATAAAATTCACCTTTTAAAAGTGTATAATTCAGTGGGTTTTAGTACATTCACAAGGTTGTGTGACCATTACCACTATTTAATTCCAGAATTTTTCATCACCCCAAAAAGAAACCTTGTAACCATTAGCAGTCACTTACCATTCTTCCCTCTCCCCAGTCCTGGAAATCACTGGCTAACATTCTGTTTATATGGTTTTGCTTCTTCTGGACAATTCATCTGAATGGAGTCACACAATATGTGGCCTTTTTGTCAGTTTCCTTTCACTTAGCATGATGTATTCAAGGTTCATCCATGTTGTAGCATGAATCAGTATTTTGTTCCTTTTTTATGGCTGAATAATATTCCATTGTATGTATATACCACATTCTGCTCATCCATTGATGGACATTTGAGTTGCTTCCTTTTTTTTTTTTTTTCTATCCTGAATAATGCTGTTATGAACATTCAGGTTAAAGTTATTGCGTGAACATATACTTTCAGTTCTCTTGGGTATACATCAAGGTGTAGATTTGCTGGATCATACAGTAACTCTATGTTTAATCTTTACAGGAACGGTCAAACTTTTTTCCAAAGCATGGGCCAGCAACTTTAAAAGAACTTCTTTTTTATTACTATAAAAGTAATACATTATATAACCATTATAGAAATGTTCAAAAATTCATTAAAGAATCAGGACAAAATAAAAATCATTCTCACTTTTTACTATTTATGGATAACAACTGTTAATCCTGTGATGGCTTTTTAATATGTGCATATGCATGCACACACATACACACAAATAATCAGTACCATGCTACATATAGTTTTGAAATTTGCTTTTCTTCACATAATAAAAGAATTTTTCAAGTTGTTAAATAGCCTTCTAAAACATGATTTTTAAATGGCTACATATTATTATTTTGTTTGAATGTACCAGGATTCATATAACTCATGTCCTTTTGATGGATAATTAGGATATTTCTAATTTTCCCTTGAAAGTTCCATAACAATATCCTTGTTATACAAATTATGTTTTTGATTCTTTTCTTAGGATACATTTCTAGAAGTTGAATTAAATATATATATTTTGAGTGTTTTTGATACAGATTACCTAACTGTCCTCCAAAATGTTGTATCCATCTATGTTGGTTTCCAGCAGCAAACAGGATGGCCTGTACCACTCAATGCTGGCCTACTTGTCATTAAAAAAAGGCTGTATAAGTGTTTTGCTTGGTATTTCTTTATCAATGAGAGTGAAATTTTTTTCGCATGCTTATCAGTCATTTGTATTTCTTCTTTTTGTGTCCTGTTTTTCATGTTCCTGGCTTGTTTTTCTACCTTTTGTTTGATTTGTTATTCATTTGGAAGAGAACATAGTCATATACATTGCATGTATTTGTTCTAACTGAGTTTGTGTTTTTTACAAATTTATCTTTTTTCTTTTTTATACAGTATAAAAGTAATAGACACTCGATGTAAAAATACAAAAAAATTATAATAATATAAAACATAGATACTGAACATTTCCCATTTCCATCTTCTCACATTGATAACTTGGTGTATATTCCTCCAAATGTTTTTTCCTATCAATATATTATGAATTACATTTCCTTTCAAAATTGGAATCATAGTATATATACTGTTTTTAACTTGATTTTTCACTTATTATATCTTATACATATCTCATTGTTAATACGTACTGCTTTATAACTTCTTTTAATAGTTATATACTACTATCACTATATTGTATTTTTAACATAAAAGTTTTTTTTACATTTTTATTTAGTCATATCATTAAGTCTTTTTTTTTTATGGCATATTGCTTAATTTTTATGCTTAAAAAGAAAGTTCCCGGGCTTTCCTGGTGGCGCAGTGGTTGAGAGTCCTCCTGCCGATGCAGGGGACACGGGTTCGTGCCCCGGTGCGGGAAGATCCCATATGCCACGGAGCGGCTGGGCCCATGAGCCATGGCCACTCAGACTGTGCGTCCAGAGCCTGTGCTCTGCAATGGGAGAGGCCACAACAGTGAGAGGCCCGCGTACCGCAAACAAACAAACAAACAAACAACAAAAAAAGGGCTTCCCTGGTGGCGCAGTGGTTGGGAGTCCGCCTGCCGATGTAGGGGACACAGGTTCGTGCCCACCCCGGTCCGGGAAGATCCCACATGCCGCGGAGCGGGTGGGCCCGTGAGCCATGGCCGCTGAGCCTGCGCGTCTGGAGCAAAATTCTCTGATGGACTATTCAAAAAATTATCCTTTTTTAAAAAAATTTTTCTTTCTTTTTTTTTTTTTGGCTGTGCTGCACGGCTTGCAGGATCTCAGTTCCCTGACCGGGGATTGAACCCAGGCCACGGCAGTGAAAGCACTGAATTCTAACCAATAGACCACCAGGGAACTCCCAAGTTATCCTCATTTTTAAGAGACAAGCTCTACTGTAAAAGACTACTGACACATCTGTGTAAGCTATAGGAGGAGTATTGGAAAACTTTGTTTTGCAGATAAAGAGGGAAAATATTGTTTTGATAAAATAAAATATATTAGAGTGCCTATTTTAAGTGAATAAAATTCAGAATACATTACCATTTCATCTGGTGTTAACAGGTAATTTTTAGAAGTTTGAAATATACCACTAATCTCTGAAAAAGAGAATTCTTACTTCCCTAAAACATTCATGAAAAAACAATTATTATCACTGGGTTAGGTGCTGGGGCTGCAATGATGAGAAAACACGGATAAACACACTCATACAAACGCACACAATATCTGACTTTACGGACTTTACAGTCAAGTGGGGAGAGAAACATTATTAAATTATTACACAAATAAATATATAATAACAAACTTTAGCGTGTGCAATGGAAGAAGAGCATAGGATGGTATGAGATGATCATGAGGGATCTGACCTTGGCCTGGAACTTCTTGGAAAGCTTGACATACTTGGGATGTGTCAGTTGTGCTGTGCTTGGGGGATGAGGATGACGAAGAGGAATCTGGTGGCCAGTGAGGGGGTTCCTTCAGGAGAGAAGGGACTTCGGGAGCAGGAATCCTGAATCTGGAAGGAGCAGGGGCCTCGAGCAACAACACAGCGGCTAACACAAATGCCTGCAGAGAGGGAGGACTGTGGGAGAGGAAGAAGGGGCATACCTCGCTAAAGTGTATTTAAATTTAAAAATGGTGTAACTACGGGCTAACAGTTTGTGATCCCTGCTTTACAGGGATTGTGAGAGTCATTAAATGTTAGCTGAAGTCCTGACAGTGTCTTGAACCTGAGTGTTCAAAGAATTACAGAACTTAAATGCTGGGTACAACCCAGCAAGAGTCCCTGAAAGAGTTGGAAAAAGAAAAGCCCGGTGTGAGCATGATGTTACTAAACGCCAGGGAAAGAGGGCCTTTTACGGAGGAGGCAGTGAGAGCTGCTAAGAGATCAAAGCAAATGAGAACTGAAAAAATGTCCATTGAATTTCACAGCACAGAGGTCAATGACCTTCACAAAATGCCTAACCTGTGTTCATATTGTATAACGAGTCTCACACATCTTCTGGATTGTCTGTGTCTTTTGCCTGACTGGGAGGGGTGTGGGCTGCTTTAGATCCAGCGCAAGTTCCCAGAGATCCGGCCACATTCTAGCAACAACTAGCACAGTGTTATAAACAACAAGACCATTATAAGATAAATATATTTTTGACAAGGCATTTATTACCACATGCTTTGATATCAGAGAGACTCAACTGGACTTGTTAAAAAACAGAAGCATGGATTTCTTGTGCAATGCTGTATAGGTAGGTATCTGATAAATTTAGAGCTTCAGAACCAAAGTTCTATGAGATATACTACTGCCTTTACTTAAGATAAAGAAAGTACAGGAATCTACTAGCTATTGAAAACTATAATAGAAAACTGTTGTACCTTTATTTGTAGAAGAAATGTTCTAAAAATGTCTCATAGAGCAGGGTGAGAGTAGTTTTCTAAATTGAAATTATAAAATTTATTATTATAACTGACATTTTTCAAGATAAAACTAGAGCACATAATGATTAGTGAATGCTACACAAAGATTCCAAAATAAACAGTTTCTACAAATCAAGTTCTCTTAAACAACTGCAAATATTTATACAACAGTAGTCTTTACCTGAATGAGTCATTTCTTAAGGCCCTCATAAAGTGACTTTCATCAAGAATAAAATTCTACATGTATGGAAATTAAGTTTAGAGAAAAAATTATTAACATAATTGAGTGTAATCATTGTTAAAAATATCAAAACAGAGCACTACATTTCAGAGTATATGTAATGATTTTTAAAGCTCTAGTGAGGCGTACTCTAAAATGTAGTTAATATTTAAGCAACATACTAACTTTAGTCATACAATATAGTTAAGATCATTATATTAAGATAATTTATATAGGATTGATATATATATATATATATATATATATACACATAATTTCCTCTCATAGGACTTTAGGAGTATTTGTCATTGTTAATTCTTTCTACATTCATTACATTTTATTTACAAATTGAAAATTTTAGTAAACAATACACTTGAAATTAAATGGTTCAATGGAATTTAACCTAGGCACATATGTTGTACTTTTATATACATTACTGCATTAAAAAAATCTATAATTTTCAATAACCTCAAAACTATTAAAATAAAGGAAATTTCTTCCCCCTTAAATCTTGGACCCTGTTATCAGATTAGTCTTCCCAAAATTCTGTTTTCATCTTGTTAGTGCCATATACGTAATTATTCAGTGGCTTCCCATTTCCTACAGAATGAAGTTCAACTCTTTATTCTGACATCAAAACATTCCACAATTTGGCCTCAAACTTTTTTTCCAAACTAGGCCATGCTCTTCCCTGACTCAGTATCAGTATCAGTGAAGCTAATTCCCACCCTGAACTTGTGTTCCTCACCTCCAATGCTCTTCCTCTTACCTTCAAATCCTATGATCTTTAATTCTGTTTGACTCCCACCTCCCCTGTGAAATCTTCGTGATGCTTCCATGCCTTCCTCTGATCTTTTCTTCACCACACCCCTCACATTGACTCTTAAACAGCCACTATTACTGAACTAGTTCATGCTGTTAAGACTTTTCTCTTCAACCAAATGGGAAATTCCTCAGTTAGTGTCATTGGTGCCTAGCACAATCCTGAGTACATAATTATAAGCATATGTTAATATCATCTTAATTACCTCTGACATTTTATTCTTATAACTTATTTTTCCATCTAAACAAACGGCACAACTAAAGGCCAAGTTTACTGTTGCTTAAGCATCTCTCATTCTCTCCCAAAGCTAACTGATATTGCTGTTTGCTCCATCTAATGCACGATCTTCACTGTGCAACTGAAATATATGCAACCTGTAATTTTCTTCAAACCAAGGACTAATTCCTTTAATTTCATCAAGTCTTAGGTAAGTTTCTGTCTTTTGTGATAAATGTATTTTTACAGGTAGATTCTTTTCCTTTTAATGGAATGTTTTGGATGTTCCAACAATTTCACTGAAATTGTAAAGCTTTAAAAAGCACTGCAGAGTCTTCCTTTCATTAAGTGAGATGTTTTTTCCTTTTCCTCTCCTTTCCCTAAGCACAAGGAAGGAGGTACAGCAGTGGAAAGATAAATGCTTTTAAAAGGCCACCCTGGGGACTTCCCTGGTGGTGCAGTGGTTAAGAATCTGCCTGCCAATGCAGGGGACACGGGTTCAAGCCCTGGTCCAGGATGCGGAGGAACTAAGCCCGTGCGCCACGACTACTGAGCCTGTGCGCCACAACTACTGAAGCCCGTGTGCCTGGAGCCCATGCTCCTCAACAAGAGAAGCCACCGCGATGTAACAAAGAGTAGCCCCCACTCTCAGCAACTAGAGAAAGCATGCACGCAGCAATGAAGACACAACGCAGCCAAAAATAAATAAATAATACATAAATAAATATATAAAATAAAATAAAAGGCCACCCTGGGCTGGGTGTAAAAAAAGCAGAAATGATGGTGCTAGCTTCCTCTACTACGTAGGCAGTTTAGCTCTGCTTAAGACTATTGTGCTTGAGCCTCACATTACAAATCCAAAACAACCGTTATTCAAAACCAGCATGGTTTTCTTCTCCCATATAGCAGTAGCAACCATTTATTAAGTACCTCCTATATGTCAGATACCATGTTGGTTGCTTTGTATGTTATCTGATTTTCACAATCAAGTGAAACATTATCCCCATTTTACAGAAGAGAAAACTGAGGCTTAGAGATGCTTAGTAACTTGAACAACTTGTATATGGCAGAGCTAGACTTTGGATGCAGAATTGATTCCAAAGTGTCTGCTCTTTTTGCTGCACCTTGCAATGTCAGTGCCTTGTATTGCCAGGAATTCTCATTGGGGAATGTCGGGGCTTGCATTCATGACTGGCAGCTATTGGGAAGGGAAGGACAGAATAGTAATGAAATGTTCCAGTATATCTAAGGAGGCTCACCAGCACCCCTCTCCTGCACATAACTGCTCCAGTCTTAATTATTAGACGTTCCCCATTCTGATAATTTACATTTCAGTGTACACCAAATTTGGCACTGTCCCTTTTGTTATGGAACATCTGATCACGTCTTGGTAGATGGAAGGAAAGCTGGAGGATTTCACCTTTGTCAAGGCTGAGGACAAAAACAACACCATGAAATAAATCACAAAAATAAGTATATGTGTGTATATATATATTTCAAATATATAACATTAGAAATTCTACCTGTAAAAATATGTTTTTCACAAAAGACAAACTTACATAAGACTACATCTTATTGCTGTGGTGACATATGAATTCCAGTCTTAAGCTTAGTCTGCTTATTTGAAGAACAGTCAATAAAAGGAAATTCCAGTGTGATAAGAATTTTGACAGTCCCTCGGTATGGGATCTAGTTATAGTGTGCTCTTCCAGGAAGGAGGTAGCTGTGTGGGTGGGTTTTAATCCATGTATGTAGGTTTTTAAAATTTTTTTAATTTATTTTATTTTTGGTTGCGTTGGGTCTTTGTTGCTGCGTGCAGGCTTTTCTCTGGTTGCGGCAAGCAGGGGCTACACTTCGTTGCAGTGTGCTGGATTCTCATTGCCGCGGCTTCTCTTGTTGCGGAGCTCGGGCTCTAGGCGTGCAGGCTTCAGTAGTCGTGGCACACGGGCTCAGTAGTTGTGGTGCACGGGCTTAGCTGCTCTGCGGCTTGTGGGATCTTCCTGGACCAGGGCTTGAACCCGTGTCTCCTGCACTGGCAGGCGGATTCTTAACCACTGCACCACCAGGGAAGCCCCGTGCATGCAGGTTTTAATCTCTTTTTCTAGTCACACTATATGTGGTGATTCCCTGATTGGCTGTTTTATTAGGACCATGGGAGGGAAAATAGGTTATTCTTCCTTCCCTATTTTTCTACACGTAAGAGAGTTTAATATACGATGGTCTCTTAGTAGTTTATTTTTTTGTTAACAATCTAGGGATTTCTATGCAGATTTAACCAACGTTTTACATTTAGTTGGTTATAAGTTAATTAATTAGTATCTACCAACAACCAAGTACACATAGGACAATTTCTGATTTATGAGTTAATAACCTTTCACTCTTGTATCATTTTAATATTAGGGTATTCAAAATGTTTCTACAAATCAGGAGTTTGATTTTCTTTTAATAACACTTATTGAGGAGACTGGGCTGCAGTTTTCGTTGGCACTGACAGTTACCGTGCTGTAGAAAGACCGTGTACCTGGAACCTGACTTTAGAGTCTCAGCGCTGCCTCTTGTTTTTTGCCTTGGAGAAATCACTTCATCCGTTTCCTCATCTATAGGATGAAGATCATAATTTCCATTCCACAGTGTTCTTATGAAGACAAAATGACATAAATATAGGAACTGTTCTTCAAAGGCAAAATTGGGTTTAAGGGAGACACACACAAAACTGGATTTAAGGGACCCTGGGCATGGTGAGGAACTGGACATCTCAGAAGGGAGTGGGGAGGAGCTTTTTATGGGGTTTGAGCTAGTATTAGTAGTCACCGGGTCCAAGTACTGTAAATAGACCTTGAATACCTTTCCCCCCAATTCTACTTCCAAATCCCAGACTTCCCCAAGTGGGGCGGGGGTGGGGGGCGAACTCAACCCCAGGGCATATTCTGTGATTTTTGTCCATGCTTCACATCCCCCAAGATGGCAAGTTTTGGAGAAGCCATTCTTTCATCATTGCAATCTTCTTGCAACCGCTCCTTGGTAAGTGCTTAATGCGTTTGCTAATTAGAGAAGGTCCCTATACAGGGTGCCGGACATCAGAAGAGTGAGTCAGACTAGCGGCTGATAATTTAGAGCCATACTTGAGTTTTTCCTTCTCTCCAAAGAAAAGGGCAGTGGTGTTTTTCCTAAAAAGAAACCTTGAATTGGGTGGCTAGTGTTCGGCCTAAAGCCTGCAAAGAAATACATAGATGCAAGGTGTGGGTGGGTGCAGTAGTTAACTATTTTGATTGTGCTGCGTCTGGAGCAGCGCGGGCGCCCGCCCCACCCACCCCGGGTTGTGGGGTGCGGGGCGGACAGTCGTCTCCGTCCCCCCAAGCCGCTGTGGCCGGGCCTCTGGTCCTGAGAGATGCAGATGAAGCGGTGTGAAGGGTTGGGCTTTTTTTTTTGTTCCTAAAAATGCAACGAACAAAAAAAAAAGTACAACAATCCAAACCCAACCATCTTGTTGCGCGCCGGCTTTCTTCCCAGGCGGCTCCACCGGGGACAACGCCGCCTCCCGTCGCCCGCGCTCGGTCCAGGCCGACCCCGCGGGTCTGCGCGATCCACGTCCCCTTCCCGGCGCCCGGGGAACGGCGCTTCGCGGGCGCGCGCAGCCCCTCTGGAAAGGAGAGAAGCCAGCAGCCAGCAACCCTCCCCTCTCCCAGGCGCACCGCGGCCGGCGGCGGTCATCGGTGGCGGTTGGAGATACCGGAAGGACTCCGCCTCCCCTCACCCACTCCCTCCCCGGGGGAAAGGCGAGGCCTAGCCTCGGAGGCGGACCGAGGTGCCGGCGGAGGAGGGCCTTGGGGCGGGGCCCGTCGGCGCCGCGAATCCATTTTGCAGCTGTTCCGACTCTTAGCGCGCGGTGCCCGCGGCTGGAGGACTGGCCGCGGCGCGGCTCCCGGTGGGTACCGTCCAGCGGCCCCGGAGGTCCGAGATAAGTACCTGCCGCCCGGGTCCTTACGGGGAAGGGGGGTGGGGACTTGCCCTGGCCGGGCAGGCACCTGCGTGAGTCGGGGGGGCTGGCGGAGAGCTCAGTCGGCGCTCCAGTCCCGGCAGCACAGCGGAAAGCAGCCAGGCCCCGGAACGGGGGGATGGGGAGCAACGGCGTGCGGGTGGGCGGCGGGGGCAGCGCGTCCGGGCTGCTGAAAACCTGGTCCGCTACCCAACACGCCTGGGTTCACTTCCAGCGCCTCGGGATCGCCTACAAAAGAAAAGGCGACCATGAACCGGAGTCAGAGCACGCGACCACCCCCTGGCACTGAACCTGGGGAGGCTGCCTGGCCCCGTGGGAGGGCGCCCTCACCGAGAAGCTCCTTAGCACAGAGATGGCCAGCCTCTCCCATGCTCCTGGCTTTTTCATCAGGTCCTAGCAGGCTGGCTTTATTTGTGGGGGATGATTGAAAAAATTGAGGGTGAAGACTAAGGACCCTTTGCACATAAATGCATAATACCCTCTCTTTCTTTGTTCTTTCTTTACAGTAGCCTCCAGTCACGACGTGGAAAAAAAAAAAAACCAAACAAACAAAACCAAAACCTGATTGCTCTGCCCTGGGAAATTGTAACCCTGACCAATACACCTGCTTGCAGGGGACAGAGGTAAACTACAATACTTTTCCCTACGTTAAAAACCAATAAACAAACAAACAAAAACCAACAAAAAAAGAAAGCACCCAATTTCGTCAGGCCCAGAACCTTTCAAAATTGAACTCTGTGCAGAATGTATGTGTTCCCACCCTCATGGATGGTCTTTGTTCTTTTCATATTTTGTCAAAACTCAGAAAAATTGATTATATACTTGGAAATTCTTTATGTGACAATTATTTGAAACATACTATAATCCAGAGATTCACACTGCAAAGGAAAAGAGGCTACAGCAGCTTTTCTTTCTTTTTGATAATAGGTTTCTTTTTCCTTCTGTGTCACTGCTGCTAGGGCTTATACAACAGGGCTTCAGTTTTCTGACTCTACAGACCTTTATATAAAAGGTATTTTAAATGCAGAATTTCTTTTACATAGCCACTTCCTCTGGTAGAACTTGATGGAGCTATTGATTAATTGGTTATACTTCTGTCTTGCACAATAAGCACATATGTTTCTTCATGCTCTCCTATCTTTCCCTAAAAATACCATCTTTTTTGCACCAGCTGATGCACTAAACCTCTCTGGCAAGTCCTTCCATAACACCAGGTTATTTTCATTCTCTACATTTATTGGTTACCTGGCCCTGCTTCTGCCATAGCTGTTGTTCAGCTATGCCCATTTCCACGAACATGCTTTGTACCTGCTATGCAATGTAATACTTACTTTGTCCTCCCTTGAAATTACAGTTCAAGGGAGTCCAACTCTCCTTTAGGACCTTTCTTGGTTAATACACTCATGCTCTAACATAACACTGTAAATGAGTATTTACAGTTTTCACAGTATCTGTACACATATGTAATTAAACCACCTTACACTGATGTAGCTCAGTAGTTTACAAAATTGTCACACATTACTTAGTCTTTCCAAGAACATTATGAGGTAGGTACTGTAAAAATCCTCATTCCATGAAGGGTAAAACTAGTGCTTAAAGGTAGGTATTCAGATGCAGGTTCAGTGCTCTTTACCCTTCACTGGAGAACCTGTTACAACCTACTTTGTAAAAATTATAGAATTTTAGAAGGGATTTAGAGAGCTCATGCTTAAGGTTCTCCATTTGATGAATGAGGATACTGAATTCCTGACCCACTTTCTGGATAGTGCTAAGGTCTGAGAATTGGGAAACTCAGGTCCTATGCCTTGCTTGCTGTGTACAATTTGGGGGAGCAGGGTAGGCTCAGTTTTTTCACTTGTAAAGTTAGGTATTTAGCTAAATGATCTCTAAGATGTTTTTAAGCCCAGTACTTCTGTTTTATTCCTACTCCATAACTTTTAGCACCATATATTCTTATATATTGGTAATACGTAGACACATACTAATATTAACTGCCTTAAACTGTTTTATATTTTAAACTTAGGTAGGTATGGTAAAAAAGTGTATGGTAAAAAACTATGCCTTTTTCTTATTTTTTTACTAAGCTCTATAAACGTATGATTCTGTTGTAAGGTTGGGAATTGCATAGAGAGGTGGAGTACTGTCATACATCATTGGTCAGAGTTCAGAAAGTGGTATGCCCTTTCTAGAGGGAAACTTGGCAGTCTTTTCAAGAGCCTTAAGAATGTTCCTACTCTTTGACCCACCTAACAGTTGGACTAAGACTTTTCTACAGAACGTTCATTAAAATGTTATAATCCACCCAAAACAAGCAGTCAATAAGAAACAGCATATCCATAAGATAGACGGTCATGTTCTAGAAGAATTTATAATAGGGGAAATGCATATGATAAAACAAGTGAAAAAAGTGGATACAAAGTTGTGTTATGCTTCCAGTTTTGTTAAAATATGTGTGTGTGCAAACACACAGTATTGGGAGGAATGTGCCAAAATAATGTTAGAAGAAATATACCAAAATAATAATAATGGTTATTCCTTGCTGATGTAACTATGGGTAATTTTTTTCCTGTATTTTCTGAATTTTCTATAATCACAAATTACTTTTATAATTTTAGAAAAACAAAGTCCACTTGCATGGATAACCTCTCCCAACTTCAGTATGGTGTCAGCTTTCTATGTCCTTTTGTAAGGCAGTTATCACACCTTTTATAGTAACAATACCTTTGTAAATGTGCTATATTTCTGAATTTAGGGCAGGAATTGACTTTTGGCTTATATTTCATCTTTTAAAATATCATTGGATTATCCATTTTTGTTATTCATGAAAGACACTGCCATTGTCATTACCTTGCCTTGGGATTTTTAGATACTAGAATGGTGCTAGAGGAATAGTACTCATAACAGTTAACTAAAAACAGGTGTCCTTTGACATACAGAATAGTTACATTCCAGTTAAGCCTTCTGTAAATATAAAGCAAATTCCCATAATGTGAACGCTTTCTAATTCATTTGCATTATAGATGTAAATATATTTCTAAGGAAAAGTTGAACTGAAAACTTTTGCCAATAGTTTAAATTATTGTCTTTCCTGTGGCATAAGCACCACAAGTATATCTCCTTGGCAGTAATCTGGCTCCCCATTTAAAACTCCCAGAGGAGCTCTTCCTTTCTTCCCCTGCATATGTGCAGTATTGAATATGAGTGAGGAGTGCCAACATAGTATTATAGAATACAGCCAACCTAAAAATTGCTTAAAGTTTAGCATAATTAGCTTTCTACTTGAAATATTTTCTAGATCAGTTTTACTTAGAATAAAATGCGTATGTAATTCTACACTGAGCAAAAGGAACTTTGTTCAGACCAATTACATTTCCATCTCAGAAGTAAGTGCTTATTAGCAGGTAGGTAGTACTTATTAGTTATCCACTAAATACTTGTTTTCACTTGGCACAGTATTACATACTACGTAAATAATTTCACTTATCTACATAGATCTAGCTTGCTGTGTACTGAATGCTAGACTTTGACATCACTTTCTGAAAGCTGGAATTAACCTCAAATGCAGAGCTAGATGATGAAAACTTTTAATAGATACCAACCTGTTGGGGATAATAATTTAGGTTAATGATTGCCAAGTTTATTGTTGTGAAAGAAGACAATTTGTTCTAGGGGTAGAATTTTGCTACCTTCATTTAAACCTGTTTACATTTATTTGGGAGAAAAGGAACCAGACATTTCTAGTTTGTAAAACCTTTGCAGAAGTCAGTAGTTCCAATTTAAGTTAATTTTAACTCTTAACAGGTAAAGATAAGTAATCTGGGTTTGGTTCCTACCAGACCAGGAGAATAATTTGGGCTATATGTATGTTTCCTTCAAATTCAGACCCTCATTATATTCAAATTGATTTCATCTGGATGGGAGAGAATGGGATTCACCACCATTCGGTGTCCTCATAGATTTCTCAGTAGTTGTACAAAAATGGGATAGGGATATCTGATCTAGCTGGTATCCTAAAACTATTGATTTAATGCTGCCGATTTACAGGATTACAGAATAATATCTTGGGTGATTATCAGGTGACACAGGGAAAAGAAAATAGGGAAAGAAACATAAGAAGTAAGGTAAAGAGGAGGTGTGAGATAAGGAAGGAATAAGAGGAAATCAAAAGATTGCATTCCTTGAAATAGAATGGGGAAGATGAGTTAAAAGAAGAATAAACAAAGGAAAAGTCGAGGCAAAATAGTGGCACAGAGAAGAGAATGAAGGAAAGGAAAAAACTCATTTTTTCCAAGTTTTTCTGGACTATGAAGGTAATGACCTAGTTTTTTGTTTTTGAGACTGTCACCTTAGTCCAAAAACTTGTGAATTTTCTGAGTAGGTAGGCCTTCCAAGCTGCTGGACCTTCTGTACTAGGTTTATTTTGCCCTACTTATCAGGAATTCTACTAGAAATACCTTGGAGGAAATTTTGACTACTACTTATTCTAGGATAATGCCAGAAAAGGTAAGTTACTTATATCTTATATGGACACAAAGGTAAATTATATTTTGTTTGCAAGGGCCACATAACAATTAGATGAGCTATTTTAGATGCTATATGTGGTATATTTATTTTATTTTTTTATGGCTCCTTAAGGTTTTATTTAAACATCTTTATTGGAGTATATGGTATATTAATTTTAATATTCCTTTTTTAAGTTATCAGAAATTTTGTCTTTTTCTTAATCTCACTTTATCCTGTTTGGATCATATAAGTTTGGGAACAGTCTCTAAAAGCCAGAATGAGGTGTTAATAACACATTGACATAGAGTATTAAAAAAAAACCCCAAAACTTGAGGGCTTCCCTTGGTGGCGCAGTGGTTGAGAGTCCGCCTGCCGATGCAGAGGACGCGGGCTTGTGCGCCTGTCCGGGAAGATCCCACATGCCGCGCAGCGGCTAGGCCCGTGAGCCGTGGCCGCTGAGACTGTGCGTCCAGAGCCTGTGCTCTGCAACGGAGAGGCCACAACAGTGAAAGGCCCGCATAGCGCAAAAAAACAAACAAAAAAAAACAACAAAAAAAACCTTGGTAAATAATTTTCATATATTGTTAGATACCTTTCAAAACACTTATTCAATGAGGAGAAAAACTAATATGTATAAGTGGTTTGTCAAAGGTCATAGACTGAGAGCAAAACAAGTATGTCAGTCTCCTCACAGGCCTTGATCCAGAGATTCCAGTAATATATTTTTTATTTTATAAAAGATAAAACAATATTACAGCAGATTAAACTCTCTGTGAAATTTATCATAGTTAGCTAATGTTTTTGAAGTTTTACTTTTTTAGCTCAATATTGTTTTCTTATTATTGGTCCCCTCTTTAGGTTTTTTTTTCCAACTTTTTATTCTGAAAATTTTCAAATATACTGAAAATTAAAAATATATTACGGAGGGCTTCCCTGGTGGCGCAGTGGTTGAGGGTCCACCTGCCGATGCAGGGGACACGGGTTCGTGCCCCGGTCCGGGAAGATCCCACATGCTGCGGAGCAGCTGGGCCCGTGAGCCATGGCCGCTGAGCCTGCGCGTCTGGAGCCTGTGCTGCGCAACGGGAGAGGCCACAACAGTGAGAGGCCCGCGTACCGCAAAAAAAAAAAAAAAAAAAAAATTACAATAGATATCCTTACATCCTCTACCTAGATTCAGTAGTTGTTAATAGATTCTTAGTAAGTTTCAAGAAATGATTATTAGTGGATCTCATACTAAAATATCAGTATACTACTTGAAAATACAGTATACAACTTGAAAATAAGATTAACTAGTGGGATGAGGGGAAGTGGTTTTTTTTTAAAGGTGAGCTCTTTTATTCCAAGCTTTGTTCCAAGATAAGGTTGATTGGTGGCTGTCTGTTTAGTAGAGCTCATGTAATTTAGTTTTGTCTATGAAGTGAGTTTCAGAATTTGCTATCTAGTTACTTGTTAGGTATTTAGATACTGCTTTGAAATTCCTGAATTCAGAGATGCCTCAAAGCAGGATGGAAATTTGATTTAAATCTCTCAGATATAAGGTATAATATATTGGCTTTTCTTTTTCTTCTGTAATGGGATTTGGGAAAGAAATCATGGGTATTATTTTGAACTTTATATTGCTATCAACTAATGAAGTTCAAAGATTTAATAGGAAAGTTTCTTTTAATTAAAAGGTTTTATTTATTTTTTAAATAAATTTATTTACTTTTGGCTGCATTGGGTCTTCATTGTTGCACCCAGGCTTTCTCTAGTTGCGGCGGGCAGGGGCTACTCTTTGTTGCGGTGCGTGGGCTTCTCGTTGCGGTGGCTTCTTATTGCAGAGCATGGGCTCTAGGTGCGTGGGCTTCAGTAGTTGTGGCGCACGGGCTTAGTTGCTCCGCAGCATGTGGGATCTTCCCGGACCAGGGCTCAAACCCGTGTCCTCTGCATTGGCAGGTGGATTACTTAACCACTGCACCACCAGGGGAGCCCAAAAGGTTTTATTAAAATTACCTTTTAAGAGTGAATAAAATGAGCACCTGTTCAATTGTAATCATTTTGGGTTGATCATATAAAAACAAAAGGGCTTCCAGGAGGGAGAAGTCATATATATTAGCTTTTACTTCTATTTTATGACTCCTTTATAAGTGTTGGCTTTTCCATTTTTAATATTCTGGTTGTTGTGTTACTGTTTTCATTTGCAGAGACTGTTGTTGCTATATACCTACTCAAGGTTGTATTGATCAAACAGTTTTCATAGTCTTCCTTAAGTGTGGATATCTTGAATGTTTGCTTAAAAATAAATCTGTGGTGGTGTTATACAACTGTGCCTTTGTCAAAACTCATAGAACGGCGTACTGAAAGGAGTGAGTTTTATTCTACATAAATTAAAAAGTATATTTTAAAGTATAAATATGGTAGGAAAATGAAGTGGAAAACCAGAGAGGTGGTAGATAACTAGGTATATATTTGGCTACTTTCTTTGTTGGTATAAAACTTGGGAAATTGTTGGGAATTCCCTGGTGGTGCAGTAGTTAGGACTCCACGCTTTCACTGCTGAGGGCATGGGTTCAATCCTTGGTTGGGGAACTAACATCCCAGAAGTCGCATGGCGTGGCCTAAATAAGTAAATACATAAATAAGTAAATAAATAAATAAATCTTGGGAAATTTTTAATTCAAAAGAAGAAATGAATCTTGGAAAACTTATTTGCCTTTATATACTTAACTTGACATTGGTTAAGTTGAAATTTTATCACTGGTGAACAGTAATTTTGTTCACATAAAATTTCTTGATATCTATATTTGTCCCCCAGAAGGGGGGGATATGTACTTTGGTTTCATCAAAGGAGTAAGCTCAATTGATTTATTTAGATTTTTATGTGTTAGCCACACTTTAGAAAAGGATCTATAAGTTCCTTTACTGTGAAAAGCATACCCTTCACTTAGTGAGACTAAAAACCTTATTATGTATTTTCCTTTAAAACTTTTAAGGCAACAAACTTGCCATGGTTTCTTGGGTTGTTAGGCTATATGTCTCAGTTTTCTCTAAAAGTCAGCTGTGCAAGTGGTCACATAGTTTTGTGATTAAAGTTTTGAGTATAAAGCTAAGAAAAGAAAATAGTGTTTAGTTTTAATGTGGATTAAAATGAGAATCTTTAAATTATAAACCAAAATTTGTAAGTTATATCACGAAAAGTGGAACAATAGGATCTACCATGATTTTGATGCAATTTTTTTAAAAAAGGGACTTTCCAAATACCAACTTTTTTCCTCTGGTTCATTTTAAGAGCTGTAAATTGATTGTGGCTTTGGGATGACTGTTTATTATTTCTAAATTTTCCTGTTTGTGACATTTTCCTTTTGATCATACTTGATTGCCTTAAAATTCTTCTTGGTCCCTCAGTTTTCTCCAAAGTTTCTCTTTGTCTTGGGTGCCTTTTTTCTCCTTCTCATGACAAAACTTGGTATCCTTTGTTTTTCCTTTTATTTATTTAATGTGCTTGGATAGGATTCTCTGGAAGTGTTAACCTTGCAAGGATGAGTAAATTAGGTTTACTTTATTGAATGCTGCTGCCACTACTTTCCTGTTCCTACAGTTTACTCCAAAATCTAGCCTTAGCATAGAATTCTTAGGTGAAAGATGACAGAGATCAATGGAGGTGATAAAGTGTAGAACCCCAGGACTAGTGATGGAAGATCATCAAAAGTTTTCCTTCTTTGCTCTAAAGAGTGAGAATGTTTTATAGCTGCTTGATAACTTCTTAGAGAGCACACTAACCTCAGTCTCTGTAGCCGTTCTCTTCTCAGTGCTTTTCAAAGGTTGTATGATTTGCCATGTCACAAAAGATTTTTCAGAAAAATAAGCTTCGTCACCATTTTTGCCGTGTAACACTAAATTTGACAGAATACTCTTTGCTTTAATTCTACATATATATGTATTATATATTTGTTATACATATATCTCTCACAACCTAATAGAAAACCATAAACTAATTAGTCTTGCAAGTTCAGCTTATCTTTTAAATACTATTTATCTTCTAGATTGTAGCTCCAATTGTGATTCTTAAAATTACTGTTAAAATTTATTCACTTCCTGGGACTTGCCTGGTGGTGCAGTGGTTAAGACTCCATGCTCCCAATGCAGGGGGCCCAGGTTCTATCCCTGGTCAGGGAAATAGGCCCCACATGCATGCTGCAACTAAGGAGCCCACATGCCGCAACTAAGCTGGCAAGCTGCAACTAAGGAGCCCACAAGATGCAACTAAGGAGCCCACGAGCCACAACTAAGGAGCCCACCTGCCGCAACTAAGACCTGGCACAACCAAGTAAATAAATAAATAAATAAATATTTTTAAAAAAAGAGTATTATATAATAAAAATTATTTACTTTTGGTTATAAGATGGCATAGAGATTAGTAGACCCTATTTTGTTACTTTGGTGGTAATGTTATATGTGTGTGTGTATATATCCCTCAGTAAACTGAATGAGGACATATTTAGCACTATTTTTGGTTCTAAAACTTCAGGGATAAAAGTTTTAAAGTGTACATTTTGAAAGAATAAACTTGAATTGAGAACTGGTATTCTCTATGGTATCCTCTAGGTCAGAGATCTCAAATATTTTGGTTGCAGGACCCCTTTACACTTAAAAACTAAGGCTCCCAAGAGCTTTTATTTACATGTGTATTATATATAGATATTTAACTGTATTAGAATGTATGATTTATAACATGCATTGGTGATTTGAACCAATTAGTTCACTGTGTAATATAGATCTCCAAATAGTGACATATTTCATTATACACGATCTCTCCTCTAAAAAAGCCAAAGCCCACATGTTAATATCACCACTTGTTTCATTACAAGCTCTTAAGTGGCAAATATGTTTTCCAAAATCCAATTTTCACTCAAAAATTCAACTTTTTATCATTGGCGAGAAATACTGTCATTTGTTTCCCTTGAAGTGATGGGTTCATTTTGTTCATTTTCAAAAAAAAATCTGTCAGATACCTAAGCCTGCACAGCCATAGTTCGTCATTTGTTGTTTCAAGTAAAAATGGTGTTTCACGAAAAAAGCGGCTGATTTAGCTTGTAGCTCAATCACCTAATTGCTTTTCCTCCAGACAGTATCTGCTGGTATGCAGTAGAAATGCTTTGTGGTTACTTCATATTTTGTCACACAAAATATTAAAAAGACATGTCCACAAGGATCAAGATTTAGTAAAATGAGTAATTTTTACTGCTTCATCTAGAACATTCTAAAATGAAACTGGCTGCCCTCACCCCTGCCCCCACCGTGGGTACGTGGTGGTGAAGAATACAATAACCAGGAATCCAGTTTGGTGCTACCTATTGCCTTGTTTGATTCCTGCTAAGGCTCCAGCAGTGTCTACTCACCATTGCTCCTTTTACAGTGCACTGTCAACATTGTGCCAGAAGTAAATAACATCTCAGTATTACTATGAAAATAGTATTGTCCTCACAGATGCCCTGGAAGAGTCTTAGGGACGCCCAGGTTTGTCCCCACTGGCTTTGATTACTGTTCCAGTGGTTTGAAAAAATATTCACTTAATTCTCAAGGGAAGAATGAATTGCAGCTGTCTCATTTTATGTTTTTACCTCTGATTTTAATAATTGTAATCTTGCCTTTGAAATAGAAAAATATGCCAGTTTTTAATAAAAGTCTACATGACAGTGCATGCTTGGATTTATATTTCTGTGCTGCTTTCTTTAAATAGCATACCATTTTATAATTGTGGGCCCAGACTAAAGAGCTCATTCTCTTCAGACACTGAGTGGCTTTGTTTCTGACAGCTAGTAGTCAGCTCTGTTTTAAAACAAGCAGTTGGGTCCTGCTGGCTCAACTTGCAGTTGTCCTAGTCCTAACCCTGTCTCAGCCAAAGACTGTTGTTGGAAAGCCCACACAAAGGCCTTGTGTACAGGGAGCCCTACTAATAAGGAGCGTGTTCTAGTCCCAGCAGATTAAATCTGCTTTGGTGTGCATTCCCTTCACAAATTTCTCACTTATTTTCTTTGTTTGGTTATTTCAGTGAAAAATCATTTTTAATGGCTGTGAAGATAGTTTCTTCTAACTAGTCCGTAGTCCAAATGAAGGGGTTACTGGAGTAAAATAAAATGTTTCTTTCTCTCTGGTAGGAGATGTGATGGAGCTGCTTGAAGAAGATCTCACGTGCCCAATTTGCTGCAGTCTGTTTGACGATCCTCGAGTTTTGCCTTGCTCGCATAACTTTTGCAAAAAATGCTTAGAAGGGATCTTAGAGGGGAATGTGCGGAATTCATTGTGGAGATCATCTCCATTCAAGTGCCCCACATGCCGTAAGGAAACTTCAGCCACCGGGGTCAGTAGCCTGCAGGTTAATTACTCCCTGAAGGGTATTGTGGAAAAGTATAACAAGATCAAGATCTCTCCCAAAATGCCAGTGTGCAAAGGACACTTGGGGCAGCCTCTCAACATTTTCTGCCTGACTGATATGCAGCTGATTTGTGGGATCTGTGCTACTCGTGGTGACCACACCAAGCATGTCTTCTGTTCTATCGAAGATGCCTATGCTCAGGAAAGGGATGCCTTTGAGTCCCTCTTCCAGAGCTTTGAGACCTGGCGTCGGGGAGATGCTCTTTCTCGCTTGGATACCTTGGAAACTAGCAAAAGGAAATCTCTACAGTTGCTGACTAAAGATTCAGATAAAGTGAAGGAGTTTTTTGAGAAGTTACAACACACATTAGATCAAAAGAAGAATGAAATCCTTTCTGACTTTGAGACCATGAAACTTGCAGTTATGCAGGCCTATGACCCAGAGATCAACAAACTCAACACCATCTTGCAGGAACAACGAATGGCCTTTAACATTGCTGAGGCTTTCAAAGATGTGTCAGAACCCATCATATTTCTGCAACAGATGCAGGAGTTCAGGGAGAAAATAAAAGTCATCAAGGAAACTCCTTTGCCTCCCTCTAATTTGCCCTCAAGCCCTTTAATGAAGAACTTTGATACCAGTCAGTGGGAAGACATAAAACTAGTAGATGTGGATAAACTTTCTTTGCCTCAAGACACTGGCACATTCATTAGCAAGATTCCTTGGAACTTTTATCTGTTATTTGTGGTAATCATTCTGCTGGGCTTTCTCATTTTCTTCAGTCCTACCATATTCCTAGAATGGTCTTTATTTGATGAAATCACAACTTGGAAAGACAATCTTTCAAACTTTAGTTCCTACCTGACTAAATCAGCTGATTTTGTAGAACAATCAGTTTTCTACTGGGAACAGTTGGCAGATGGGTTTTTCATTTTCAGTGAAAGATTAAAGAATTTCACTTTGGTGGTGCTGAACAATGTGGCAGAATTTGTGTGCAAATATAAACTGTTATAAAATCTGTTTGAAGTACATAGTTCTGTGTCTTTTGTTAGAAATTTGTCAGAATACAGAGTGGTAGTTCAGATTTGGTCAAGATTCCAGTCAGATATTTTCCTCCACAAGTATTCCTTTCAAAAACAATGTCCTACACATGTTGTTGAAATTAGGTAGTATAAAGATAAAAGTGAAATTTAATAGTGTAGTCCTGAGCCCTCCTTCCTTTTTAAAGTGCTTTTGAAATAAGCATCCTACCCCTAATACTGGTTGTGTTTATGCTATGAAAAAAGGGGATGTGAGAGAGTACATGATTTAATATTGATGAGGTAGTGTAATAATGATTGTTCTTAAGCATGTAATAAAGACTACTCTTGTAAAGCAACTTTTTTTTTGAGAGTGAACATTCTTTAAAAAGGAATAAGATATGGATTGAATTTCCAACTTTTTCTGCAGAGGGTTGATTTCTTTTTTTGGTACAATGTAAGTCTCATGTAAACAAAAACTGGCATTACCTTATGCGAAGTTTACGTTTTAAGGAGGGTGGAGATTTATTTCAGCTTGCCTTTTATCTGCTTAGGTTTTGTAAATTTATCACCAGAGGAGTTTGGAGGTAAACTACAAAACTTAGGTGACTGTGCAAGCAAAGGCATGGGTAAAAACAAACAAACAAACACATTGCAAGAGCAGGAAATGGAAAAGCCGCCTTTTTACTGGCAGCTAAGTGTTGTTCCAAAGTACCATGGCAACTGTACAACCAATCAATTCACTTGTTTAAAGAATTTTTTAAGAGTAGTAAGACTAATTTAACGATAGATGAAACAATCTATCAGCTATTATAAAGTACAAAATGATCAGCTAAACACTAAGGCTGTCCTGTCTGCTCACATGAGATAAAGATGCCCTGTCTCCCACAGAACAAAAATAATTTTTTCACCTTGTTTAGAATTCAGATGAAAACAAGAAGTGACTTTATCTTAGAACTGCTTTCAGTCAACCTTATTTCTGTCATGGGACAAGACATTCCTTGACAGTCCAGAGGGTCTTTACCCCAGTCCATTAATTTGGTTGAGAGGAGGTAATACAAGCAGGGACAGGAAAAGAAGGTGGCAACTAAATTTCAAGTACAGAAGAATCATTCTAGTTATGAGAAGAGTAGTCAAAATAAGCTGCTAGTTGAGGTAATGACTGCCTTATCCCCAACTGACAATCCAAGATTAGCTACTAAATTTCTAAAGGGATATAAAAAATTAAGACAATGTTTATAAATATTACCTCTGCCATGAGGACTCATAGTAGATAAGAGGTTTGGAGAGGGGGAATGCTTTTCTGCTCCCAGTATATTTTATAGATTTGCAAGAGGTTTTTATGAAGGTTCTTTTTTTTTTTTTAATGAGATATAGTAAAGGGATCTATTTGACATATGTCCTCAGACATATTGGCAGTTTTCCTTAAACTATGGAGTTCCTCATCTGTTATTTTTTCATTCTGTATACTGTACGTTCCCAGGCAACTCTCAAATTTGTAAACACAGCTATGGACACACTATTTGCTTTAACAGTAGTTACCTGGAAATCGAGGTCTCTGTTTTTGTTACATTCCACTCCCCTACATTTCTTAATCATATGTAACGTTTGTGGGCACAGGTTGATTTTCAAGTTCCTAAGTCTGTGCCTGATGGTGTGTAGCCTCTAGTGTGAAGCAGAGGAAAATGAGTAGTCAGGAACTGGTCACTTTGAACGTGGGAGGGAAGATATTCACCACAAGGTCTTCAACCTTAAAGCAGTTTCCTGCCTCTCGGTTGACACGTATGTTAGATGGCAGAGACCAAGAATTCAAGATGGTTGGTGGCCAGATTTTTGTGGACAGAGATGGTGTTTTATTTAGTTTCGTCTTAGATTTTTTGAGAACTCACCAGCTTTTATTACCCACTGACTTTTCAGACTATCTCAGGCTTCAGAGGGAGGCTGTATTCTATGAACTTGATCCTCTGGTGGATCTCTTAAACCAAGAACACCTGCTACAGCCAAGACCTGCTCTTGTGGAGGTACATTTCCTAAGCCGAAACACTCAAGCTTTTTTTAGGGTGTTTGGCTCTTGCAGCAAAACAATCGAGATGTTAACTGGGAGAATTACAGTGTTTACAGAGCAACCTTCAGCACCGACCTGGAGTAGTAACTCCTTCCCTCCTCAGATGACCTTACTTCCACTGCCTCCACAAAGACCTTCTTACCATGACCTGGTTTTCCAGTGCGGCTCTGACAGCACGACTGATAACCAAACTGGAGTCAGGTATTTTGTATTTTGAAGCCTCTATTCTACACCGGTTCCTGATGTATCCCCTCAAAATTGAAATTTTCTCATTTCAGTTTTGGAAAAAAATGATTACTCAAAATGATTTTTTGGTGGGAGTAACCAGCAGAGTTGGGTGGAATGACCAGATAATTATTGTCCAAACTGGGATACTTTTCAGAGTGAAAGAAGTTGTTATTATGTGGGACAATAAGAATAAATCAAAGTTGTCCAGGGAAAACTGGGACTATGGTCATTCAAGTTGTAGGAGGAAACAATTTTATAGATTATGTTCCATTACTATGGAATGAGAAGCCTTTTTCTCCCCAAGGGTTTCTTTTCGTTGCTGGTATATAGTAAAGGCTCAACAGTTTGTCATGATTTCATTACACTATGTACAGTTGTTCTTTCAGTCCTTCTGATTTGGCTACTGATTTTTCTCCATTCCACTTTATTTTTAAACACCATTAAGGCAGATATATCTCATGGCAAATCTGGTCTCCTCTTACATTGTTGGCACTCTTTACACAACTCAAAATACTGGGATAGCCTGTCAGTATATTAAGGATAGTTGCTTCTGAGTCAGTCACTTTCTCCCCCTGTTATTCTTGGCTGGACCCTAAGACGGATTTCCACTCTACTGTCACGGACACTTTTTTCGCCGCTTAGAAATGTCTTAATGCTGTCCCACTGTTATTTTACTGTGAAAGCTGGCTTTAATTTTCAGGAGGGGAAAAAAAATGTCTACATATGTTCTTTACTGACAGTATTTAAATCAGATACACGTTTTTGGGGTCAAGGTAGACAGACATATTTGGGGATATTTTCTTAACTTTTGCAGTAACCATAAGAAATGACCAATGTTTACCCCTCCCACAACATACCCCTTGGTCCTGCATACCAGCTGAAGAACCAAGTAGGACAGTAGGACAATTCTTAAGTTTTTACGCTTTATAATTTCCTGCCTTTCCAAAGAGGCATGAAATGTCATTTTGGGGAAAGAGATCCAGCTAACAGGCTGATTGAGAAGAAAACCTAAGACCCTATCTTCACCTCAAAATGTTTTAAGATACCTCTGGGCACAGTTGGTGGGGTACTAACATAAATAGAAGGGAAATTACCAGTTGTTGTTTTTTTTTAATTTGTGTGATTAAGATCTTTGGGGATCCCTTTCTAAAAAGTTAAAAAACTAAGAAAAAATGGTGTCATTGATTTCAAGAAGGAACATGCAAGATAAAAAGGTATCATGGAAATACTAAATGATTTTTAAAAGCTATGCATTTGGAGAAAATGACTATAATCTTGAAAAACATTAGAAACTCAAGTTGGGATATTCTTTGTGTGTACACAGTGACAGTAGTTTTCCCTTTGCTGTTAAGTGTTTGTGTTTTACAAATAGTACAAAAAATTTTTTCATCTTAATGAGAGAATGACATTATATTTAAATTCCAAAACCAGAAGCTATTTTTTAAACTGACTTTTTCTTGCATCCCCAAAGAGTATTCTTTTCAGTTGTTTGAAGTTTAGAATTTTTTTCAGCCTATAAGTGGTCATGATTTTCTTCTATAGGTCCAATTTCAAAGTAGAGGTAGAAACCCAAATAAGGTGACATTATTGGGAGTTCAGGTGATCGGATGAAAGCTCTTGGTCTTAAGAGGCCCACCTTAGGTATATAATTATTTAGCTAGCAATCATTTTTATTTCTTGCTCACTCCTTGTGGTCTGAATCTGTCCATTCAGATGTTTTTCTTGATGGTGGAAAGTGGAGGAGTGAGCCTGAATGGCTGCTCAGAGCCTGATGTATCATCCAGCTGTTCAGTATGCTCTACTAATATGATTTATCACTCTGAGGTCTTGGTAACCTAGCAAGTTGCTCAGTTATTATCTCTCAAGTTCACAGTACTAGAAATACTTGGCATGCATCTTGCAGAGGGCCATACCACATTATCAAGTCAAGTTATGGTCACAGGATTCTAGAGTCTCTTTGGTAGCCATCTTCTATCTGACCGTTCCTGTATAAACTAGCTCAAATGGAAAAGTGTACTTGCCTTATAAGTTTTTAAAATAAGTTTTGATTTTCCAGTTCCCATTAGTTTCTTTTATCTTTTTCTTATGCCTTGAAATCTTCCATTTTTCATTTTGGCCTCTTAGGGAATCAAGTATTTAGGCCAAGTGATTTCTTGCAAGTACATTCCACTTTGTTATCACCTACTATATACTATTTGCATCTTAATTTTGTGAGACATTCTGTAACATTTTTTCTCTTTGACAAAAGTTTCTAGGCTATAAAATCAAGATCTGGGGTTTGGGGGTAGATGAAATGATTTACTAATGTTAAAAATTTGCTGTATTAAACATAAATGTGCTTTTGATATGTACTTTTATAATTTTTACATTTTATTATTGAATTTTTTTCTTTGCCTAGAATGGGTTTCTAAATGTGAGCTACAATAACCACTCTATCAATCATAATTAAAAGGAGGCTAGGGATGACCCCAAGGCTCTTTTTATCCCATAAAACCACAGACAGTTTAGGTAGCTGCCTGGAACTAAAGCCTTTTTTTTTTTCACATCTCATAAACAAATGGTGGCAGGACACAAAGGATATAAAAATATCCTGATGGGGCTTCCCTGGTGGCGCAGTGGTCGAGAGTCCGCCTGCCGATGCAGGGACATGGGTTCGTGCCCCCGTCCAGGAGGATCCCACATGCCACGAAGTGGCTGGGCCCGTGAGCCATGGCCGCTGAGCCTGTGCATATGGAGCCTGTGCTCCGCAGTGGGAGAGGCCACAGCAGTGAGAGGCCCGCGTACCCAAAAAAAAAAAACTCCTGATGGTAGATAAAGAAGGGGCAATATAGCTATATCTTTATGGACATGTTATGTTGACATTATTAAAGCAACATATAGTCAATCTGAAAAGTTCAGGTATATTTTTCTTGAATAATGTGTATCTATCGAGTTTTCCAGAAAGTTTTGTCATTTTGACTCCAGAAGCCTTTTGACCCCATGTCTTGCTCTTCAACAATGGACAGTTATTGAGAAAAATTGACAATAAAGTCTTCTTGACATTTAACATCTGCAAAATTTCACCTGCAAAATGCATTTGATAGGAGAAAGTCACAAAAGAAAATTTGTAATGTCAGTGCTGGTAATGGGTAAAATTAGATCTAGGGGGAAACTGTAAATGTATCAGATGTTCATTAAAAAGATTGAATCAATTAATTAAATCGATTAGAACAATATTTAGTAAGTTGAAAACAAAATTTGGAAATAGTTAAATTACATTATATGAAAATTAAGCTAATTTAATTGCTTGATCAAATTGTTTGCTCCAGACAATAATTTCTCAATGAAAATTCATCAATGTTAGCTATATTCCTAAATGTGGAATTAAAATGACTTTGGAGATCACAGCAAAGTCTCTGTTTTCAGTAGCCTGAAGGTACTGGCTTGGATTTATAAATGAAGTCTTTAAAAATATCTGATCAGAAAATGGTTTGATACCTTTATTTGAGGTTATAAATCAAATATTTCTGTTTAGTTTTGCTGGTTATTAAAGGGATGTTTTATAATTGAACATTTTTGTGTGTCCTAGGTATGTTTCTATAAAACCTGATAACCGAAAACTGGCCAACGGAACTAATGTCCTCGGCTTACTGATTGACACTTTATTAATGGAAGGCTTCCATCTGGTCAGCACCAGAACAGTATCCTCTGAAGACAAAACTGAATGCTATAGCTTTGAAAGGATAAAAAAGCCTGAAGCTCTTGCCATGAACAAAACACTGAAACCAGAGACTACCCTCATGCCAGAGCAATCTCAGAAAAAGAAATGAGGTTCTCTGTTCTCTTTTACAGTAAAAAGAAATTGCCATTTTCTGGTTTGGAAATTCCATATTTAGGGCATATATGTTAGTCAGATATGTACTCACCCTAACTTTCTGGCCTTCTACCATGCCATCTTTGGGCAACCACAGCTTAACAGTGCTTAAGACACACTAACTATGTGCTGCTCTCTAAACAACACCGTGCACTTGGTGCTTTGGTGCACATTCCTTCTACCTTCAATGCCTCTTTCCCTTTCTCTTCTTCATGAACACTTACAAAGCGTTCAAGAATGGACTATGGAATCAGACTGCTTGATTTCTAATCCCAACTAAGTCACTTACTAGCTATGTGGCTAGGGCAAGTCATTTAACCTCTCTCTGCCTCAACTTTTTCATCTATCAAATGAGGATAATAAATATATCTCCCTTATAGGATATATGAGGATTAAAGGAGATAATGTAAAGCGTTCAACACACTGCCTGGCGCATGGTAGGCACTCAGTAACTATCAGTGATGATAATGATGAAGAAGATGGGTAACCCACTTTCAACTGTACCTCTTCTGTAAGGCCTTGTTTTCCTCCTTTCCTAGGCATAGTAATCAGCCCTTTCCTCTATCTAGACTTACATGCCATCATAAAAACAAATTTTTCTCACTTGAATGTGAGCTCGATCCACTCAACAGTTTTAACTCTACTATGTGTAAAGCACTGTGCTGAACACTTGTTGAGAAATACCTTTGTTACCAATTAGCACCTACTCTGGTAAAAAGCTTTTTGCATATAACTTCTACTAACATTTAAAATACACATATTACTTTTTAAAAAATATTTATTTATTTGGCTGCATCAGGTCTTAGTTGCAGCATGCGGTATCTTTTAGTTGTGGCATGAAGAATCTTTTAGTTGTGGCATGCAAACTCTTAGTTGCGGCATGTGGGATCTAGCTCCCTGACCAGGGATCGAACCTGCATTGGGAGTGCAGAGTCTTAGCCACTGGACCACCAGGGAAGTCCCCTACACATATTACTTTGACTTAGTGAGTCCTCTTGTAGGAATTTCTCTTATATACACGTCTTTAAAATATTAGGATAAATATCTAGAAAGGGAATCATTAGATCAACGAGTACAAAGTACTCTGCACATAGTAGGGTTAAAAAACATTGAGTGGAAGCAGTTGAGCAGCATTTTAAAAAGTACCATTCATTCATTCAAAAACATCCGTTAAACGTTTGTTGAATACTATACTAAGTTTTCAGAATTAAAACATTTACTCATGACAAAAATCCTTATTCTCAAGGAACTCACATTCAAGTGAGACAGTGTATCATCATAACAGCGAAAAATTGGAAGTAAACTCAAAGTTCATCAACAGGTAATGGGTATAAAGTATGGTTCATACAGTGAAATACCGTGCAGCCTTTAAAAAGAATGAGACAGCAGTTTATAAACTAAGAAGGAAGGATTGTCAAATATATATAAGTTGGAAAAAAGCAAGGAGTAAGACAATGTATAAAGTGGAAAAATATATTTCCACTTTATATGCAGTATCTAGTTTCCATTTGCAGAAAGATATATAATACTCATATATCTATATTCATGGAATTTTCAGCAAAGATATGTGTCACCTGTAGAGAGGAAACTGGGTGAGTGGGGTTTGGGTGTGGGAGGAAGATTTACTTTTCATCAGACCAGGGAGGTCTTTTTTAAAAAAGAAAGAAAAAACCATACCTGAAAGATTGTGTGTGTGTGTGCCAGGGTTGGAGGCATGTTATGGCATAGTATGGCCTATTATCTCATACTGACATAAATTTTACTCTTCCATCCTTTCTGTGAAACCCCTACACTTAGTAAAGAAATTACACTCCAGAAATTTCTAGTAATTACTTATAGATTTGTGTACTAAGTTGCAGGGAAGAAAGATTTAAAAAAAAAATTTCCTAATAGTACGTCAAAAGATTATGTATAATGGAAAAGTGCAAAATACTTCAAGATTAGTAACGTTAAGGTTAGCAACGGAAAATAATGACCCAAATAAGAAAAAAGCCTTATGAATGAGTGTTTTGTTTTTGGTGGCACACATCCTCTCTTTACTGCAGAAAAAACCAACTTAGTTGTTTTAGTCTGTCATCTTAGTTTTGGGGATGATGTGTCTGGCCTGGTTCCCTTGCTAGCATCATATTCGAGGGCACAATATTTCTAGTTTGCTAAGTTTTGGGCACGCGTGTGATTTAACTAGCTCGGTGTAGTTGGCATGGTTATATATGTTACACTGTTTAATTCTGTATACGGCTTTGCTGATAAGATGATTCAAAACTGATAACTGGTTAAAAGAATAGTGAAGCAAAAAATACTGTAACTACAGGTTGGCAAGGAATAAGATAGGAAATGTTTAAACTGCTATTATGTGTTCTTAGTCATTCACACTTGCCGGAAATTAGCTTGAGATGAGAAATAAAATGTTCTTTTTAATGTGCTAATAGAAACATTACCCTATGGAAACATGTAGTATATATACGTTTAATTAATTCAGTCAGAAAATATTTATTGACATCTACTGTGTGCCAAATACTATTCTAGACACTGGGGAGCAAGGAGCTGCAAGGAGCAAAATAAGGTCGTCCCTTCTAGAGCTCACTACAACTACAGTTCATAACACTGACAATGGGTTTAAATTAAAATAACTTAAGCCTTTAATTAAACAGTTCCTCAAAAGTCATGGGTTCACAATCCAGAGGTTTTCAGAAGGAGATAGATAACCAAAATTTAAAAATGTATATTATTCATTAGGAAAAGTGTACTTTCAGAGTGGATTGAGTTTCTTATTTTAGTAAATATTTTACAGATGATATTATCTGGAGACACATCTGTCAAGATTATCTAAGTAATAAGCCTCTTGTCTTCACTCCAACATAGAGTGGGGCACTGTAACTGGTATGTCAAGACGTGCAAAAGAGAGTCTTGTTTTAGAAAGGGAGGCAGGCATATGGCTGGAAGAAAACAGGCTTATGTTAGATGCACCACAGGCAAATTTAAACTCTTGCCTGCTTTAGAAAAAAAAAAAAAAGACTTTAACATCTTCATATGAGCATCACTTAACTTCTTGACTGAATTGATTATAAGAAAATCATAAGAAAAAAAAAAAAAAAAAAAAAAAAAAAAAATCATAAGAAATTATAAGAAAATAATGGCAGAAGCTTGTCTTGGCCAACCAAACTGAAAACTTTGGTCTATCAAATCATATACTCCTATCAATCCATCTCAGATATACAGGTATGAGTCATCACAAAGCATGGTTTGTCAGTCTTAACAATACCAGTGATAGTTGGGTCTCCCCTATTCTCCCACTTATGTTTGTTTCAGCCTCTTTCCATCACCTACAGTTTCATTTCTGATAAGGCACTAAAGATTTTAGCTTATTCTTGAACCTCAACAATGTAACCTTATAAATTGTTGGAAGTTCTCCCTACAAAGATTTTCTGAAAAGATGCTCTGGTGTTGAATTTTACTCTCGAATTTAATATACAAGTCATAATTACAAAGAATCTACAAGTCATAATTACAAAGAATCCTTAGGTTATGTTAAAGTCGAAATTAATTCGGGCTGCTTTCAAAATATATCTGAATTCAGAAGCCTGAAGTAATATAAAATGGTCAAGGGAAAGCAGCTTGAGAAATATATGATTTAGGGAATTGTAAGCTGTTTCTATTTGTCTTGTATTCTGTTTACATCTGACAAATGTCAGCTTAGTTTTATAAGTCTTTGTATTGGTTCTCTATCATAAATAACAGAAATGGTCACATTAACAGAGACCTTGCTGGAATAACAAAAGACTTGCTAAGACTTCTAACTATCCCGTATTCTACTTTTATTTTTCCTCTGTGCTGGGGAAGTTGACTCTGTAATAGCACACTTAGCAATGTAAAAGCCACTAAGAGGAAATTTTTAAAAAGAAATTTGGGAAATTTTATTACCTTCCTGGAGCCAGTGAACCCGTGGAAAACACCAGTGTGACATCAAACTTATTGTTTTAAACAAAAGTATAGAGATGAGATGAAAATATATTACTAAAAATACTTAGATTTCTGGAAAATCAACAACATCATAAAAACCATAATTACTCACCAGCTTGGTCCCAGAACAGCTTTGTCATGAATTGTTAGGCCTTCTATTGGATCTATCTGAGATGAAAAGTTATGTGCAAATTTTACCAAAAGACTCATCATCTCAATATTTCTGAGCTCAGAAAATGCCTTAATATATATCTAAGCTATGAGGTCGATCCAACTCCCAAAATATTTTAATAGATAAAAAGCTAACACCTTACATGGTGATGGGGAAATGAGTATTAAGCATGGCACAGAATAAATAAGCAACAAAATACAGCAAAATAAATAGGAATTTGCTCCTAAAACTGAAATGTGCCTAAGACTTAGTTAATCATACAGAGCTTTCTGCACCTTCAGATTTCACACCAACACCTCAAATCCATAAATCATTGTTTTAAAGTGGTTTTTTATCAGTTGAGTAAAACACACCAACTACCAAGTGTTTCTATTTCATGTTACTTTTCTCATTTCACAATCTGGTAAGAATTTGAATGTCTTTGAGTTCCCAAGTTGGAAGCCAAACAGGAGAGGTTTATCTTACCCTTCTTGTAATAAGAGACCCCAAGAAAGTCTGGCTGCAATGTCTGAGGTTCCATGAGTTCTTTTAAGATGAGGACTGGGACTGTGCTTTATATTGGTCTTTATATTCCCCCGCAGGGCTGGACATCTAAGAGTCTTAACTGAACTGAACTGAAAAATTTGGAACACTATAGCCTCAGTAAACAGGCACTTGGAAAAACAAGAATTATAGTAGATTCAAAGATAGATGAGTATACTTTACATAAAGAGTCTGAAAGAGTTGATTCAAGTTAAAGACTACAGAAAAAAACCCATGGTATTTTCTACTAGAAGTTTATGTGGGTAATCACACAAAAAATGAGATGAAAGTCTAGATGTATATAGAAATACTAAGTAATTGAATGTTATGCAAAACTGGACTTTCCTGGTGGGGCAGTGGTTAAGAATCCGCCTGCCAATGCAGGGGACACAGTTTCGAGCCCTGGTTCAGGAAGATCCCACATGCCGCGGAGCAACTAAGCACGTGCGGTACAACTACTGAGCCTGCGCTCTAGAGCTTGCAAGCCTCAACTACTGAGCCTGTGTGCCACAACTACTGGAGCCCACGCACCTAGAGCCCGTGCTCCACAAGAGAAGCCACCACGAGAAGCCCGCGCACCACAACGAAGAGCAGCCCCCGCTCACTGCAACTAGAAAGCCCGAGTGCAGCAACGAAGACCCGACGCTGCCAAAAATAAATAAATTTTTTTTAAAAAGTTATGCAAAATTATACATTTAATCAGAGTAAAACAGCTCAGCCAAAACTGGAATATACCATAATTTGCTAGTAAAAATGCAATGCTACGAGTGCTTAGTAATTAAATAAATATTACAGGAATACAAATTCCGAATGAATGTTACATGACTATAATCAATATTAAATCTTGACTTACCTCCATAATTTAGGAGTCATGAAAAGATAGTCGAAGTCATCAGACCAGGCACATGAGTCAGTTGCAACTAGGATGGAAATACAGAAACAAATGTTCCCAGTTCTGGATAACCTGACTTGAAGACATAGGTTCACTGAATTCGGATTAATCAAATAGTTCAAGGATTTAGGTAAAATGGTATAAAAGACTCTGGTATATTCAGAAGACATGTTACTGAGTTTTTTAAAGGCATTTTGGAGGCATAGATTAACATTTTAGGTTTCCTTACATATCATTAAAGTAGAACATATTAGAAATTTAAAACGTAGAGTAATGTGGTACTTCTGTCCCATGATGGGCATGTAATTACTAGGTAAACAGATCAAGATACTTTGACTTTCTAAATAGGAATCCTATAAAACAAGGTTTAGCTCCTAGAAAATCAAAATACTTGCTTTCAATTAATTAAAAAAAATTTTTTTTTGTTTTGATTTGGTCACTTTTTAAACTTCTGGCTACAATTTAAGCAGTACTGAATTCCTATTTGATTTTTTTTGGCTAACACTTTTCTTCAGAAGCAAACCCAATTTAGGGTGAAAAGGAGAAAATATTTTAGACCTCTTAGACAGAAGCTTCATTTCCTCTTAACTGTGTTTCTCCATCAAAAACAAGTATTCAAATAAGGAATCTCAATTATCTAAACCTATTTTTGGCCATCTTCCGGAATTTCTTGTTATATCTCTTTTGAAATACCACAGTTGCACTCTTGGAAAACTTGTCTTCCTGGTTTTCAAATTTCTGTTTATTATTATAACTCTTCAGCCAGAATGCCAGGTCTTTGTGCTGTACTGTGTCTTGAAACTGGAGACCAGCACATTTCCCACAGTTCAATTACTTGCTTTTCCATTTGAGAAATTAAAGCCATGTCAATTTTACAGTTTTAACTGACTGAATTATTTGGACTTTAAGTTCTCAATTTCATTCCCTCAATGTAATACTGGGAAAGATATTTGTTTAATGAATAGAAGCAAAGGTGAGGTTCAAGAATAATTAGGGGCTTCCCTGGTGGCACGGTGGTTAAAAATCTGCCTGCTAATGCAGGGGACATGGGTTCGAGCCCTGGTCTGGGAAGATCCCACATGCTGTGGAGCAACTAAGCCCGTGCGCCATAGCTACTGAGCCTGTGCTCTAGAGACCACAAGCCACAACTACTGAGCCCATGCGCCACATCTACCGAAGCCCGTGTGCCCTAGAGCCCGTACTCCACGATAAGCGAAGCTACTGCACTGAGAAGCCCATGCACCTGCAACGGAGAGTAGCCCCCGCACACCACAACTAGAGAAAGCCAGCACACAGCAATTAAGACCCAACGCAGCCAAAAATAAATAAAATAAATAAATTTATAAAAAAAAAAGAATAATTAACACATTTTAGTCACTGACCTTCATAACTGATACCAGTGTAGGGTTTTCCTATAGGCACAAGCTTGAGATATGACACTCTAAGAAAAAAAGGAGAGTTTTAATTCCATTTTGGAAATGTTTATTTAAGACTACATACCTAATCAAATAATTTTTTAATGTAAATGTATGTGTTTATGTACTTCTTTTTAAAAGAAAGGGATATACTGTCTTTAATAAATAACTTCAGTTAGCTTGTCTACCCTTATCAGTTTTGAGTGGATAACTGATGAATTTACCTCTCCAGCCAGACTTTTACATAGGATTCCAGTTCTGTATATTCAGCGACTTTTAATCCAAGCATTTCAAAAGGAATGCCTGGATATCATCTTAAATTCAATATTACAAAAATGGGACTCAAAATCTTTCCTTCTCAAACTATCTTCTCTTAACTCTCTCCTTTCAGTGATACTATCATTGTCTTCCAGTAAAGAAAATGTGTAATTTTTGACACCCCCCCTTTTATCCAACTCATCATGATGTTCTACAATTTTTCTTTTGAAATATCTTAAATTTATTCTCTTATCTCCATTCTTATTGCCACCATTCTGTTCAAGTTTTCTTCACTCCTAGATCACCACAGTAGTCACATGCCCAGTTTCTTTGCCAACAGACTTTCTTAGAATCCTTCTATATATAGTATAGCCACATTTAATTTCCAAAAATTCCATTATTTTGTAAGTTTTCATTATTTTGTTTCAAGAGGCCATAATTACCTCCCTATTCCTTGCTATATCAAGACTAAAAGTCCTCTAATTGGTTATCTAGGCAAAGGCCCAATAACTTAGTTCTAACCTGGTTATCTAAATTCATGTAACCTTTGTCTCAGGTCTTAAGGCAAAGGTCCCAAGTTACTTTTGGGGGAATACTGCATTCTATTTTGGCTGCATTCTATTTCTCACCCAGAAACCAGAAAAGTCCACTACTTGACAATTCAGTGCATCTTATTTACAAGCATACAGGCCACAAATTACAAAATGAAGACATTTTTTTATTGAGTCAGCAGAGACAACTGTCTAATCCCCCTGCAATTCCCTAAAGTTACTTACAGTTTTGAACTGAGGAGACCATCTCATGTGGCATTTATCGCCCTTTACTAGAGTGAGCTGTTGTCTGGCACTTTGCTCTGTACGGACAATGAGTTTTCTGCTTCCAGTCTCAGTCCTTTCTCCACATGGTCTAGGTACCCGTGATATAGTCAGTTCTCACATTTTTTTTTTTTTTTTTTTTGGTGGGGGCAGTGGTGATGTCAAAATAAGTGCCTAGAAAACAGGTCATAAGGCAAATAAGTGTAGAGGGGAAACTGCTTCACCGTGGGAACCATTATTTAATTGCTGGTTGAATTCCTGACTTCTAGCTAAATGTTAAGTATAACAAATATGTCAACCTCCCTCAAAGCCAAACCCAACCCAACAGCAACATTAGACTTTTCAAAAAAAAGTAATTTATATTTATATAGGTTCTGGAAATCAGACATAAATGTCCTATAGATTTTATATAAAAGCTCTTAAGGATACATAAAAATAAATCCTTATCACATTATAAATATGACTTAAATGTCCTAGCAGAAAACAAATGCTACATATTTGATCCACAATTTTCTCTGCCTTCTGAGATTTCTGAAAGCTTTTTTGTGTGACTTGGGTACTGTCTTACAAAATTGTCCAAGAAAGTTTATAAGAAAACCCATTTCACTCAATAAGGTAGCTCTAGTAAGCGGAGGGATTCAGAAGCATACAATTAACTTTAGAGAGTCACTTTAAAGAACTGCAGCAGATGTTCAATACATTTATTTTTGTGATTATGGTAATGATGCTTCTTGAAAAAAATTTTTTTGAAAAGTATTTTTTAATGTAAGGACTTTTCATTCTACTACCACCTCCCATCTCCTCAGAGAGACAACAAATAAAAGCCAATAGGGAACAGTTAAATTATACTTTGTTGGAAAGTTTTAGATGATCAATCAGATCATTTATAACCCTCAAAATTTCATAGGCTTTCCAGCTATTCATACCCCCACCCACAGGTTTCTGGCTTTGATTTTTTAAAAAAAACTTTAAGGTAGCTAAGACTTGAATGTTAATAGGTAGCATAGAATGAGAGGAGCCCTGACCCCTGGTAAGTGAAATAGTAAAAGGTGGAGAACTTCTAAATTACCAGGCAAGAGCTTGGGCATTTCTATGTTTATCTAGCTGGTATTCAGCCTTTCCAAAACATTAATTTATCACCAAATCACTACTGATTTTCAGCAACCAACTGCCATTTATCAAGCACCCACTATGTTAGACTTGCAGAGTATACAATACAAAATGAAATAGCCTCTGCCCATAAAGCAGGATGTATTAATTGTTCTAGGTCAGGTATAGGAGCACAAAAGAGAGAAATGGTATTTCTGGGTGAGGAAGGAAAGTGAACTGGGAAAATTTCTTGCAGGGGCTAGATAGCCTAAGAATATTTAGACAGCTGAAGATGAGGGAAAGGACATAACTTGAGCTAAGGTTTGTATGCAAATTAGAGGTTTGGAAAAGGAGTACAGTGTTTTTATTTGGCTTAACAACAGTACTGTGGTACTTGTGATCATTCCCATAGTGATAAGGTCAATCTCACCTGGGCAAAAAATATCCCTGATAGTAGACTTTTGGCTATGCAACCCCTGCCTCTCAAGATTTCTCACTTGATTTGCTCAGTTAAAGGCTATAGACCCCCAATATTTCAGGTAAACTCGTCTAATTTAAGCCTAGATTCCTTCCAACATTTCTTACAAATCGTGATTTTTTTCTTCAAATATCACACCTTGATTTTCGAAGGGCTGCAGGCAATCTGAATATACTCTCATTTTCTTCAATTAGAAATTAGGGCATTTTATGCAAAGGAAGGAAAACAATCTCAAGCATGGTTACACTCACCTCCCTACCTACTCCCCAATACCAACCTGTTTTCAACCCAGTAATTCTACTTTACTCCTTCCTACTTGATCATCCTTTGGTTCATGTTTTCTGCACTTGTAAGTCTCCAATTCCTTCATTTCACTGAATCAGTCCTATCTATTCTTTAAGCCCAGCTCATTTTCAACCTCCTCTAAGAAGTCTTCT